CCAGCGATTGTTTGGGTCACCATGGCTTCACACCCGAAAGAACTGACAAAAATTGGCCGGGATTTCACACCACCGAAAGAGTGTTTTTCTATCATCATGAAAAGATTAAAAATTATACAGAATGCCATAATTTCATACATTTAGCTGAAATCAAGTCATTAATAACTTCTTTTTTCATCAATTTCGGAAAACTAATTATTTTACGATAATCAACTAATAATTTATCAGCGGGAGAGCAACACAAAATCAACGTATAGCACACTTCTAGAATTTTGTTTTACGAGCCGGTTTTTAGGCAAACCGAGTTCAAGGAATAATTAAATATTTATTATTATTAAAATATTTAGTAAAAATTAAATCACAATACAATTGGACCAGGACGAGAACTCAACTGAAGTGGGGATAAAACAGTTGATTTATTAAGTGTAAAACGGTGCTGGGATTCAAAATGGAATAAATTTCCGATCATTAAGAGTCTTTGTTTGTTTGAATAAATTAGAAAATTTAATTGTTTGCGTTCTTTTATGAAATGAAATTGAATTTAAAATTTCGTGATAGCCAAATGGAATAAAATGGAACGCAATTCGCAAAATAAAACTCGAGAAAAATCTGTTAACTTGAATTTATCGGGAGGTTTAAGCACTGAAATTTCCCTAATTGCGCTTTGGTAAAAGAAGAACAAATTGAGTTTCCAAGAACAATTAGGAAATTCATTTTGGAAGAACTAACTTTCTGGAGCTCGGTTATAAATTTTTGCCATCGATTTACAGAAGCAGATCTAAGCCGAAATAACTATAGAAACCGTAGTCTTGATTGTAGCTTCGTATGCACCTTTCTCTGAATTTTAAGACCTGGAAGCATTTGGAGAGTACATTGTAGGCACTATGATATATTTGAGGGTGATACATTAACTGTATGCTGCATTAAGGAATATGAATACCCACCTGCCACCATTCACGATCACTGACGTTGAGTAATTGCAGGATATCTCCAGAACGAATTGAGATTGCGGCACGAGGAATGACCTGATTGGCTTCCATCACTTCATATGGGTCAAAATCGGCCAAAACTCGAACGAACAGGCCATCCGCCTCGATTGAATGACGATTGTGTGGACCAGCGTCTCCTATGTTGTAACTGTCACCCTCCTCCTCCTCCTCTCCGTTGTCCAATTGACCTTCTGTCTGAGCTCGAACCTGTTCTTCCAATTTCTTGTACTCTACGCCAAAGAATAGAAATGGCTAACATGACCGAGTGATGGCATTTTTGATTCAGAGTACAAAAATTTCATGCTGCGTACCTGCTGGACAGTAAGCTAGAACCAGATCAACTCGGGAAGGTGCTGTTTTCAAGAGAATCGCCGCCTCTTCATGACTTGATTCAACAACTTCAATTCCGTTAACCTGAAAAAGAAAATAAATGCCAACGGATTAATTTTTCTGTTTATTTTTATTCTGACAGCGGGAAATAAACAGTGTCGTGTAGTGTCACAGACCCTATTTACTTGATTTAAGCCACTAGACCTTCCGTTGTCTAATGTTTCATCTGTCCTCAGATTTTCTTAGTTCAAGATCGTCATTTTCTTAATGAATTTAAGGCAATTAAGCCTCAAACTCGTATATTCCTTGATCGGTAATGATTCCAAAGCTGTTCTAGTGGATGAAAATGTTTATTTTTCAAACAATAAATTTCACGAGTTCTCACAAAGTGTTTAGGCAATCGAAATTTTTATATCCGAAAAAAAACGTGACAAAAGTTTAAGTGAAAGAAAACGAGAATTTTATACAAATTATTAAATAACTAACCGTAGTTGATTGGCTGAATCAAGAACTTCAAAATATTTAAAGTTGAATGTCCTTTTGGGGGGGGGGGACTATTCTGTCGTTCAATCATAATATGGCTTGCTGGAAACAAAAATGCCATTGAGTTGCACTATATTTGCACGAAATATCCTCTCAATTATCAGTTGAAACTGTTAGCTAAATTCTTAAATTAATTAAATTAAATAACTAGTGACTTTTCTCTCTTTTAGCCAGAGAACTAGCAAGTAAATACCATACGGTCATCTAGACATAACATATTTAAAGATGCTTTTCAGAGACTCAGTAAATAATTAATTAGAACTCTAACATATTTCCCTTAACAAGTCATCGTTTCTCGAGAGGATAGCTATGAACGAGTATTTGCAGTGCCTGTTAGTCTAAGCATTGAGTAGGTATCATAATCTACACATTATTTTTTTTCAATATACAAACTCGGACAGACGAAGAGATCGAATGTTAGTGCTGGAATTACAATGAAATAGCGCACGCGAATTGCGTATCAATTTTAAAAAAGGCGCTCAACTTTTAATTGGGTTTCGTTTTCAAGCGTGCCTACTTCACCAAATGAAGCGAGATTATAAAAAACACCGCGCAGTTTTAAACACCTAGAAGAAAAGTGTCTCGTGGTTTTTACAATCGATGCAATCAATGCAATTCCTTTGAATTTTCTACTTCTAACGCAATTTGTTGATATGGAGGAAACTAAAAGCCGACGACGTTAACTTTGTTCCCGCACAGTTGTGAAAAAATGAGGGAATCTTACATGAATGAAAATTTGAGAAAAAAGGTGTTACTTGGTGTGATTATTATCAATCAACCACTTTTATAGTTGGCATAAGCATCAAGATGACATGACAAACCATTTGATTTGAACAAATAACTGAAATAAAACTTTGAATATTTAAAATTTGGAGTATCGATTAATAAAAACGTAGAAATAATCTCATGGATGAAGTATTCAAATGCCTTTGAACCTTGATAAGATTGAAAATTTGATTGAAATTAGTATTAGTCGAAACAACAATAAAATCTGGGTCACATGTGATTGTAATTAAAAATTTTAATAAGTATCCTAACCAAATAGTGAAAATGATTTGCTTAAAACAGGATTAATCAATAGATGAAATTATGTGACAAAATTTTCTGATGAAATATGGAGAATGAAATTACTGTCGCTTTCAAAGAATAATTTTGCATTAAAGTGTATCGATTTTTCAACTTTTTTGCTCAAACTTCCTTTTGTCAAAGTTTGATCGACTGTATTTCAGAAATAGAAAAAAAATGTGCATCGAAATCTTGTTCCTTACTGTTGATGACTTAAGTCCACTGCTAAAGCAAACATCCTTCAACAGCAGATGTTCACAAACAAACCTCTATTGGTGGACTTCTTTAAATTTCTGTCGAAAACAAAATTTCATAAGTTTTATTTTAAAAATGAACAATAAAGTCCATGTTTTCTAATAACAGCTATACCAAAGGTACTTTGTACGATTATTACATACTTCATAGGCAATACAACTGTGCATATTAAGAAATTGTTGGTTATTGATTTTCTTCGTAATCATTTATCGGACTAACGCATTTCCATGAAAGAATTCCAAATTTAATTAATTACTTCGGACACAATGCTAACTTGAGAATGGTCGATGTTCATTATCTTTGTTCGAAACAAAAAAATTTAATTTGAACAACTTTCCACAAAAAGAATTACACTGTTATAGTTTGTGATAAAGCCAAGTAGTATTTTTTGTGATATGATCGGTAACATATTATGCATCTGCATAAATACATTTCAACTCAATTCAATTATTCCAGATCTTCTAATTAAACTATTAAGTACAATGTTCATTTTTTTTAAATTCATCTTTTTATCTTTCGTCCATTCAAAGTTACCTTTTTTATCCTATTTGGGCCTTATTATTCCCATGGGATATGGCCAGATGAGAACATGTTTACCTCAATAGTACTTCAGAAAATTCAAGAATCTTTTATGGAACCAGTCACCTTCAAACCACAAAGATTATGAAATTTATATTTCACTTGGCTTCTATTGGTTACAGCAATTAGTTTAACTTACTATTACTACGCCAAGAGCAAATAAATAATATTTTTTAATTAAGTAGAGATTTGCGGAAATTGAGTTGTTTGAGTTAGTTAAAACAAAACGTACAACTAAGAGCCGATCTCCAACTGACATAGCCTTCGAGCGAGCAGCAGGTCTATCTGGATGTATATGCGACACATAGATGCCATCAGTTCCATCACCTCCAAGAATGTTGAAACCAAGACTACCTCCACTTCTCTCACAGGAGGTACTTCCATTGCTTCTTTGCATCACGGGACTTTCCTTGTAGAGCTTGACTAATCGAGCTCTTGGCCATCGCTCTAGCACAGAATCGGGAACGGCTCTAGCCGCAGCGTAATCTTCTATAAATTTAAATAAAAAATTAATAATACACTTTAATTTACCCCAAAAAATAAAGAGAAAACAGGACTAATGTTCATTATTACGATTAATTGACATCAAATATTTTGGTTAAATAAAGAATAAAAAAAAAAAACACGTAAAGTGCTTATATAAGGAGTCAGGTGTTAAATGTATTCCCCTGTATGTACGACATTGATAGTTAATTTCGTTTATTACACTAGAATTATATTTTTAGCACTTTAAGTCCACACTTATCAATGATATTCCCGAAGTAGATACTAAAACGAAATGAAGCCAAAGAATGAAATGAAAGATTTTTTCCAGAAATGCTAGGTTTCAGTGCTTTTTGAAATCATTTTACCTTACCTCTCTTACCTATAATAAGATGTTTATTTATTTATTTCAAATGGCAGGCGTTATGATAGGTATCATTAGCCCTTTAGTTGACTTCGTGCTTCACAGAAAGGAAGAGGAACGCCAAAGTGGCAAAAAGTCGAGAGGGGGAACAGAAGAGTGTTTTAAAGATGTAAAAGAGACAGACACAAAGGTAGAAAAATGTGAGCACTGTGGAATTAGTCGAATATGAAATGCGGCGGGGTCTTGGTAGTTTGAAATCAGAAGTCAACTGCCGATTAATAGACTTTTTTGCCGTATGAGCATACGTTGCCCAGGGTGCACCACGTGGAGGTAAGTCTATTGCACACCCCATAATAAGATATTAATTAGTCAAAGTGACTTAACAATTCAGGAACGCAGTTGATCGGTCAATTTGAATGGAGTATCTATGAGTTTGTGAGTAGGTTTAGGCAATTTGAATATGAATATATTGAGTGGGTGCATTATATTCATTATAGAACAAGGAGTACACGAAATGCCTCCTTAAATAGAAAATGGGAATTATCTTAATCTCAAGTGCTGTAATAATGAAGTTACGTAGGTCTTTGGC